GAAAGGAAAGTGAGCCTCCGAAAGTCTGTTCGCAAATGCAGTGTGTGATAGAGCTATGAGTACCATAGGTACTCACACAGTACTATCAGATGCATATGGGTATAACAACTTATTAAGATCAAAGCACCAGCGAAGGAAAAAGAAAATTGAAGTGTAAGGAAGTTGTATTTTTGGAATTCTAGCAAAACTCTGATTTGAAATGTAAAAACTATTTGTTTCATCGTTGTTGCATTTTTGAGACAAGATCTTGATCTGTTGCCCAGGCTGGAGTGCAGTAATGCATCATAGCTCACTATAGCCCCGAACTCCCGGGATCAAGTGATCCTCCCACCTTAGCCTCCTGAGTAGCTGGGACTACAGGCACACACCACTGTGCCTAGCTAATTTTTTTTTTTTTTTTAAAAATAATATCACAGAAAATTTATAATCTAAGAGTGGAGCTATGAAATGCCCTGAAAATCCTTCTACCTCGGCTTTCCAAAGTCCTGGGATTACAGATGTGAAGATGTGAATTACTGTGCCTGCAATTTTTTTTTTTTTTTTTTTTTGAGGGAGTCTCGCTCTGTCATCCAAGCTGGAGTGCAGTGGGATTACAGGCACAGACCACCACACCCAGCTAATATTTTATATTTTTGGTAGAGACAGGGTTTCACCATGCTGGCCAGGCTGGTCTCAAATTGCTGACCTCAAGTGATCCGCCCGCCCTCGGCCTCCCAAAGTGTTGGGATTGAAGGCATGAGCCACCGTACCCGGCATGACTCAATTTTTTAAAAAAAAATATTGTGTGGAGTCCGGGTCTAGCTCTGTCGCCCTGGCTGGTCTCAGAATCTTAGCCTCAAATGATCATTCTGCTTCAGCCTCCCAAAGTGCTGGGATTATTTGCATGAGCCACACCATACCATGCCCATCCCAGTTGTTGGAATTTAAGAATGTACCATGTCACCAGGAACTACATACCAACTCCAAGGTCATTTCTAACCCAGAAACTTCGCTGATGATTTACATAGGAGGCTGCCAACTTTCCTGGCCGCAGGGAAGGTGGAAATTTTGCTGAAACCTAGCCATCCCAACACTGAAGTCCTAAACCCTTGAGGGAGGACTCTTGGGTTCAGCCTCAGCCTTAACCCTTCCTGCCTACCTCTGGCAGAGGCACAGCTGTCTCAGGGAAGGCCAGACAAAAGACAGTATCCAGAACACTGTAATTCCACACCCACATCCACCCCATCCCCAGGCAGGGCCTAGCAGTGCCATCTTTGTGTTCAGACAAGATCAGGTGCGTTCACGGTGGTATGTCCATAGAGTTTTTTGTTGTTGTTGTTGTTGTGGTTTGAAACAGAGTCTCTACTCTGTCACCCAGGCTGGAGTGCAGTGGCGCAATCTCAGCTCACTGAAATCTCTGCCTCCTGGGTTCAAGTGATTCTCCTGCCTCAGCCTCCTGAGTGGCTGGGATTACAGGCATGCACCACCATGCTCGGCTAATTTTTGTATTTTTAGTAGAGACAGGGTTTTGCCATGTTGGCCGGGCTGATCTTGAACTCCTGACCTCAGGTGATCTGCCCGCCTCAGCCTCCCAAAGTGCTCGGATTACAAGCGTGAGCCACCACACCTGGCCCGTCTTTGTGTTCAAAGGGCCCGAAACCCCTTACTGCTCAGGTATTCGTCAGAGAAGTGGCCAAGAGCCTGAGAGTTCTGCTCCCCAAAAGAAAGGAAAGGGGAATGAAAAGCCAGATTGTGTTTAATCTGATTCTCATAGCAACCCAGAGTAAAGCACAGATAAGATTTACATGATTTTCCCATTTTAAATGATTTAACCTGAGATCAAGTCTTCTCCAAGCCTTTGCAAATGTCCTCGCTGCCTGGAAAGCCCCTCTCCTTCACCCCATTCTCATCTGCCTCCACTAACCCTTCCCTGGTCAATTCCATACCTGCTTGTCCCTCCGTCAAGCTTAGAGGTCACCTTCCTTGACCCTCCCAGGCACCAGCAGTTGGGCCCAACCCACCCCCTGCAGCATCCCTGACCCTGGATCATGATGGCATTCCTGTCTATACCATCTGCCCCTTCAGGACAGGACCCTTTCCTGACTTGATCACAGGGAAAGCCTCAGCTGACCCCAGCTCAGGGCCTGGTATCACAGACGTGCTCATTGAATAAATCCATAGATCCTGTAGAATTCCGAAGGGAAGAACAGGTGCATGAAATGTACCCAAACAGACTTTCTTCCCATGTAAAGTAATGACAATTCCTACCAAAAGGAAGTAAGAGAAGGCTCCTTAGCAATTATTTCCATGTGGTCAGGAAGGAGTGCCCTGCAGCTGTGAAAAGTGTGTCCTCTCATGCTTCTGGGTAACAGAACATTTATTGAAGTTGGAGAAACTCATTCTGGAGTGAGCCGCATATTAAGTAATCCTGACCCAATTAGCTGCTTTTTTGAATCCGCATCTTCCAATCTTCCAATACCTCTGAAATCATTCATCATGAGCATCTCAGAAAGAACTGCGGAGGAGGCTGGATGCGGTGGCTCATGCCTGTAATCCCAGCACTTTGGGAGGCTGAGGCGGGCGATCACCTGAGGTCAGGAGTTAGAGACCAGCCTGGCCAACATGGCGAAAACCCATCTCTATTAAAAACACAAAAATTACCCGGATGTGCTGGCCAGTGCCTGTAATCCCAGCTACTCAGGAGGCTGAGGCAGGAGAATTGCTTGAACCCAGGAGGTGGAGGTTGCAGTGAGCAAAGATCATGCCACTGCACCCAGCCTGGGCAACAGAGCAAGACTCTGTCAAACACACACACACACACACACCCTGTGGAGGAGCTCATGGAGGCGAAGAGCATGGCCCTGCACCCAGCCCCACAAGCATGAATTTGGTTTCCAGCTTTGCATGTCACCAACTGCAGGTCTTGGGCACGTGACTCAACCTGAGCACCTCAGGGGGTCTGGCACAAGGCTCACAGCTGCAAGCTCTCAGGAAGCCAGGCTCCTCAGGGGGCATGGAGAGGTGGTGGTCTTGGATGACCCTTGACTGGACTGTAAATTCCTCTCATCCTTGTCTACTCTAGACCCAGCTCAGCAGGCAGTAGGTGTTCAAGTGATACTTAAACAAATGGTACTTTTCTCACTCTTTTATCTCCCTCTCGCCTTCCTGCTCCCTGTGTTCCCTTCCTTTCTAGAAACTGTATTAACAGGGGAAAACAGTTCTCCCATTTTCAGAGAACCAAGGCAATCTTTCCCCCAAGAAAATCACCTTGCAGGCCAGGCACAATGGCTCATGAGACAGGAGGATTGCTTGAGGCCAGGAGTTCTAGACCAGCCTGAACAATATAGAGACCCTGTCTCTACAAAACAACTAGCCAGGCGTGGTGGCACCGGCCTGTGGTCCCAGCTACTCGGGAGGCTGAGGTGGAAGGATGGCTTGGGCCCAGGAGTTTGAGGCTGCAGTGAGCTATGATCATGTCACTGTACTCCAGCCTGGGCAACAGAGCAAGATCCTGTCTCAAAACAAGAAAGAAAAGAAAGAGAGAAAGAGAGAGGGAGGGAGGGGAAAAAAAAACCTTCTAAGGGGACTAGAAAATAAAAAGAAAACCACCTTGCTTTAAAATATCCAAATGGTGGCTGCCTTTCTGCATTGGCCAAAATGACTGAACTCGACAGTGCTCCCCTAACTCTCAGTTTACGGGAACCTAAAACCTCTTTATGACTCAAGGAAGAATTTGGCGGAGATTCCCTCCCTCCTAGCACTCCAAGGCTAAAAGCAAACCGAGGCTTTGTGGGTTTTTTTCCCCTTTATCATTTCCTGTAGTCTAAAAAAAATGAGAGGAATGCAAACATTGAGGAGATAATGGACGTAAGCACCAGGTAATAAAAAGATTTAGCAATAACCGCCCTGAGAGTAGCACGGGCCAAATAAGCCCCGCCCCAGGCCCGCCTCCCAGCCCGAGGATCCTGTCACCATCCTCCAGAAGCCTCCGGGCTCCTCCTCACTAAGTGGTCTGCCGCTTTCCTCCTTGCTCCTGAATTGTTCTAGCTCCGGGTTCTAAGCCAGCACATGCGTTACTAACATCCTTCCCATTTTTCCCCACTTCCTCATTCACTTCTCCCCACCTGCTGCAAATTCTAGGTGGCAGTTTTTGGTTTTGAACTTAAATTTTTTTTTCTGGACAAATCTAATGAAATCAAGAGAGAGAGGAAAAACACAAAAACCACCCTTCACTTATTGTCATTGGTCCAGATTTTTCCTTCCAGTATCTGACCATGAGCTGATGTCATTTCTGTGTTAAGGAGATGACAGTATAGAGGAGCGGCTAAAGGTGGTTCTGGGGCCAGGTAGACCTGGGTTTGAGCTCAGTCACTGGCTCAGTCACTTCCTCTGTGCCTCAGTTTCCCCCTGTGAAAATGAGAGTAGGGGTAGTGTCTAACCCATTGAGTTATGGTGAGATGTAAATTAGAGCAAGCACATAGCACCCTCAGCCCAGCATCTGGCACACAATTGGCGTTTCTGCAAACACAAGCTGCAGTTATAGTGGGAGGCAAAGACTGGATAGAATTTTTTACTCTGCCTTTTCTTACTTTGAATCATGTAAGTGCTGGGCATGGTAGCTCACGCCTGTGGCCCAGCTTCTTGGAAGGCAGAGGTGGGAGGATCACTTAAGCCCAGGAGTTTGAGGTCAGCCTGGGCAACATAGCAAGACCCCCATCTCTAAAGTTTTTTAAAATTATTATAATAAGCATTTTCCATGTCACTTTTTCCTCCTAAGGCCTGCATTTTTCTGAAGTACAGACATCATCGGATAAGGCCAAGATCACATTCAGAATGGAGGTTCCGGTGTCTGGGGCACACCTAGCACTCAATAAAAATGGCTGAGAAGTATTTTATTTATTCACTTATTAAGATTTGGGGTCTCGCTCTCTCACCCAGGCTGGAGTGAGGTGGCATGATCAGAGCTCACTGCAGCCTTAAACTCCTGAGCTGAAGCGATCCTCCCACCTCAGCCTCCCGTGTACTGGAATGACAGCTGTGAGCCACTGTACCCAGCAAAAAACTATTTTAAATGGCTGCATAATATTCCACTGAAAGCCTGTGCCCTGACTGAGCTGACCATTCCATAGGATCTGATATTTGAGTAGCTCCCATTTTTGTCACTTTTATAAACAGCATTGCTGTCACCATTGCCACCCACACACCCCGTTCATTCCCTGGTGTGGGGTGGGAAGGGAGAAGAGAGGTTGTCAATTTCATAAAAAATCTTTCTGAATAAAGAGTCTGAGCATTTTTTTTTTCACTTTCTAAACATGTTGCCAGATTGCCCCTCAGAAGGCCTGTACCAAATTTACACTGTTGGCAGCATTTTTTGATGAGAACTACTCTTCACGCTAATTTACAGTTTTTCTCTCGGATCTGGAATTCTCGCCCTGGCTGGTTCTCCTGGGAGGCATGAGGCATGTATAAAGATATCTGAGCGATGGCTGTCACCAGAGGGGCGTATCTGGTTCTTCTGCCAGGTGCTCAGGCTGGGAGTGTTTCTGTCTGCTGAGCCAGGCCAGGTGGGGCTGAGAGCACTGTCTCAGTGCTCCCAATCCCTGCCTGCTCTTAAGCCACCAGAGATCTTCCGAGGTGGGTCCTGGAATGCCTCGGTACCCTGCGGTTCAACACTCTGGCCCATCCTAGACAGATGAGTCTCATCAGGTGCCACCACCGTGATTCCTGCTCTCACACCCTGGCACTTCATTGGGGCTCCTTTGCAATAAGTCAATCAGCTACTGCTGGAGAAAAAAAAAAAATTTCTCCTGGGTAGGGAGATGGGGACAGGGGCCATAAGTGAAGCCACATGCTCCTGGAAAGCCATAGCCACAGCCCCTGACCACGTGCTGAACTCTTAGCACCACTGCTGCTGCTGCCTTTAGGCTGTAGCATTGCTTTGCTGAGGTTCTGTGACGCGCAGCCTTTCCCCTAGCTCTGGTCCTCCTCCTCCGGGGGTGGCCCTTGTTTGCAAACAGCAACAGGAAGTTTTGACGCTGCTGATTAACCAGACTCCCACAGCTCTCTGTGCTGAGTCATCGCCACTAGTGTCAACCTCTCGCCTGCCCCGCCGACACCACCAGCTTCCAGGTGACCGAGAGGAAGCAGCAAGCATCCTGTGGTTCCAGTGGCTTCCATCTGCCACCTTCTAGGGGAGGGACAAACTTCCATCCACCCCAGACAACCAGAATGTGCAGGGCCCTGAATGCCAGGATGGGAATTTAATCTAATTAAACTTCAGCAAGGGGCTGAGGGACAGCTTCATGCCAGGCACCGGGAGAAACTCTTTACACACAGGATTGCCTTTGCTTTCATTCAATCCCTGCAACATGTGTGGTAGGTGTTATTATTCCCATTGTACAGATGGAGAGACTGAGGCCAGCAGGAGGCCCATGGATGTGTAGGGGCTGCTATGGGAAGGCAGCTTGGAGTGCCGGAGATGGTGGGTACTGCCAGCAGGAGCTGTGTCCTCTACGCACAATGTGACCTTGGTCAGATTTCCTCCCTGTTCTGGGTCTCATGCCCCTCCCTGGGTACATGAAGACTGGTGACCTTCTCAGGGCTACAGCCACGAGGAAGTGAGTGGGCCAGCTGGATGGCCCACTCTGGGATTCTGCTTGCTGAAAGCCTGATCCAAGGGCAGGACTATCCCACCTCAGCCACCTGGGACTGGCTTCACTGTTCACAGTTGCATCACCAAGGAACTCCATGGAAAGAAAATAATTGAGTGGTTGCCAGGTCCTGGGAGGTGGGAGGGAGAATGAGGAGTGACTATGAATGGGGCTTCTTTGGGGCGTGATAAAATGTCCTAAAGTTAGATTATGGTGACAGTTGTACAACTCTGTGAATATACTAAAAACAATTGGATTGTACACTTTAAACAGGTGAATGTTGTGGTATGATAATTATATCTCAATAAAGCCGTTTAAGAGAGAAAGGAGGAAGGAGGGAAGGAGGACAGGAGAGAGAGAGACCTACTCAGAGGTCAGGCCAAGCACGATGGCTCACGCCTGTAATCCCAGCAGTTTGGGAGGCAGAGCAGGGAGGATCACTTGAGGTCAGGAGTTTGAGACCAGCCTGGGCAACATGGCAAGACCCCATTTCTACAAAAACATTTAAAAATTAGCTGGGCATGGTGGTGCATACCTACGGTCCCAGCTACTTAGAAGACTGAGGTGTGGGGCCAAGCGGAGTGACTCACGCCTGTAATCCCACCACTTTGGGGGGCTGAGACAGATGGATCATTTAAGGTCAGGAGTTCAAGACCAGCCTGGCCAACATAGTGAAACCCTGTCTCTACTAAAAATGCAAAAATTAGCCGGGCATGATGGCACATGCTTGTAAACCCAGCTACTTAGGAGGCTGTGGAGAATCAGTTGAACCTGGGAGGTATAGGTTGCAGTGAGCCGAGATTGTGATTGTGCCACTGTGCTCTAGCCTGGGTGACAGTGAGACTCTGTCTCAAAAAAAAAAAGATTGAGGCCCAGAGGAATCCACTAGCCCAGGCGTACAGGAACAAAGGTATTGAGCCCTATGGATCACAACCAACTCAGTGCAAAGCCACTAGGTGATGGAGCCGAGACCCCCATCTCTTTAAAAAAAAAAAAAAGAAGCCAGAGCTGCCTTTGAGATTTGCCTCTGGAATAGGGCCCTCAGCCATCCCAGGCCTCTCCAATCATCCCCCTCTAAGCAGCTCCCTCCAGAGCCCCAGGAAAGGGTGTGTGTGAAGACACCCAGTGGCAGGCGGTGGCCCCAGCTGCTGACCGAAGGTGATGGGCCCTGGCCTCTGGTGCTTGCTCTCCTCAGAGAGGAAAGAACCATGAAATCAAAGGGCAGGTGTGTGTGGACCTGAGGGATGCGGGGAGGTGGCAAGAAAATGCCTGGAGCCGGAGCGGGAGAGACCCTGTTGAGTCCAGGTGGGGAGGTGTTGCTCAGACAGGGAGGGCCTGGAAACAAAGCCTGGACTGGAAACACCGAACCACCGGGCTGGCCAGGGCCGCCTAGATAACATCTTAACCACTCCAGAAAGTGTAAGTAAGGAACACCTGCTGCTCGTGAGGGGCCCCCACCAAACGGTCGGCCATGTCTGCTGGCAATCGGGGGCACAGGCCAGATGCCGCTGCCCAAGAAGGTAACCCCCGCCTAGACCTAACGCTGAGCCAGGGGCACAGGTGCAAGGGATCCATCATGAGTGTTAGCTAAACTGACCAATAAGAGGCTGGAGCTCATTCCCACTTGTACTGTTTGGGCAACTTACTGTTGAAAAAGGAGAACCTGCCGGGCGCAGTGGCTCACACCTGTAGTCCAACATTTTGGGAGACTGAAGCTAGTGGAGCACCTGAGGGTCGAGTTTGAGACCAGCCTGCCTCACATGGGAAACCCCATCTCCACTAAAACATACAAAAATTAGTCAGGCGTAGTTTGTGCACGCCTGGATCCTAGCTACTCGGAGGCTGAGGCAGGAGAATCGCTTGAACCCGGGAGGAGAAGGTTGCAGTGAGCCAAGATTGCACCACTCCACTCCAGCCATGGACAACAAAGCAAGGCTTTGTCTCAAAATAAAAAAAAAAAAATTCAAAAAAAAAATATTAAAAAAAAAAAAGGAAAAGGAGAACTCAGAGGATCTTGGAGGCACAGTGTCCCTGTCTAAATCTCCAGATAACCCAGAAAGCACGCGCTGCCCCCACGCCACTCCACCCCCTCCACGCCTCCCTGTCCTATGCTCTTCACGCCCACCTCCTGGGGCAAATGGCACCGGATGCTCCTGTCTTAAGTGAACAAATGGAGACTCTAACCACCTTCTGAGAATCCCAGCCCTGGGGTCAAACCTGCATGCCTGCTGAGTACCTGCATGACAATAATTAGGATTTCCTATGCTCTGAAGCAAACCTCCCACCTGGCATCCTGCATGTGTCCAGCAACTCCCTGCACCTGGGCACTAATCACGCAGGTGGGCTTGGCATCCTCACAGCCTCTGTAGCACATGCCTTCAGGGGGAAGAGACCCGGGGACTCAGGAGACTCGAGGCATCTCCAGAGTCACAGCCTGAAGACGGAACCCCATGCTCTCCTGGACATAAAAGCCACACAGTCCCTGGTAGACAGGTAGGCAGAGGTGAAGGGATTTACCCTGGCACTGGGTTGGAGCTGTGCAGTCACCCCTGCTTATTCTTCCTGTACATCCCGCTACTGTCCCCCTGCTATAGATTTGACTGGGGCAGGCTGGCTGCAGAGTCCAGGTCTTGAACCACTGTACCACACTGCCTCTCAAGGGCACAGTCAGTGGGGTCCTTGTCACTGTGGGCCATTCCTCAGCATGCATTCAGAGCTCTTCACCATCTGCCTGCAGCCGCCCTGCCTGGCCTTTTCTCCCACTGACCCCCCAAGGCACCCTCTTTCTGGTCCTTGAGTTTTCCATATGCTCCGCCCCTACCCCCACATCTCCACCTGCAGCTGTTTACCTGTGAGGCTCAATGAAAGGACCACCTCCTCCGTGGGGACTCCTGATACCTAGTCAGAAGTCCCCTAGGACCACCTCCCCTTCCGTTAGCTCACCTAGCACTGGATTCACAACTGTGAGGGACTGTCAGTCTCCTACATTAGATTGGAGGCCCCTGATTCAGACTCCCATGCTGTGTGACTTAGGGTAAGGCCCTTAACCTCTCTGAGCCTCAGTTTCCTCATTAACAGGTAATATTTATTGAGCACGTACTATGTGCTAGGTACTATATGCTACTATCCCGTTTAATCCTTACAGCACATATGAGGCGGGTACTGTAATTATCCCATGTTACAGATGAAGAAACTGTCACTGTCATTAGGACTACCACCATTATTGTCATTCTTTTTTTTTTGGAGACAGATGCTCTGTCACCCAGGCTGGAGTGCAGTGGTGCGATCTCAGCTCACTGCAACCTCTGCCTCCCAGATTCAAGCAGTTCTTCTGCCTCAGCCTCCCAAGTAGCTGGAACTACAGGCATGCACCAACACACCCAAGTGTTTGTATTTTAGTAGAGATGGGGTTTCACCATGTTGCCCAGGCTGGTCTTGAACTCCTGAGCTCAAGCAATCCACCCACCTCGGCCTCCCAAAATGCTAGGATTACAGGTGTGAGCCACCGTGCCTGGCCTATTATTGCCCTTCTTTTATCCACTACAAAACCTAGCACACAGCAGATACTCAAACTCAGCAAAATTCAAGTATGGCTAGAACTGGAACCAGCCTTGGATAGGAAGGAGTTTCAGAAACAAAGTTCTGCACATGCTCTAGAACCCGCAGGCCTGGCCCTGTCCTGGCTGGGGTGATACCATCTTTGGAGGCTGATGCTGGCAGTCTGTTGTGGCTGGGGACTTGGAGTGGCCTCCTTTCACTTCTCACAGCAGCCCTGCCTCTATCCACAGAAACAAACTCTGCCCAAACCAGTCCTGCAATGCACAGAGCCCAGTGGCAAACAAGCCACCTGGATAAATGGTGCCCAAGGCTGTGGGGTCCTGGGAGGCTGACTGGAGGCAGAATTGTGCTCATTTGTAACCAGAGTAGCTCTGGGTTACTTCTGTTAGCTCAAGGTCACAGGTACATCTCTGTGCTTCAAGATCCACACCGCACCCCCCCAGCGCTACGTGTTTTCTAGGATCTGCTCCAAGCATTTTCCAAAGCCGCAGGGGCTGCTTACAAGACTCTCTGCCCATCACCCCCAACCTGGCTGAGCTGGGACCACATCGACGCCTGGCCTGACTCTTCTACCAGGATGCCCTCCAAGACCAACACTGATGCCTGAGTCCCCTCACCAGGGAGACTGGGGGTGCCCCTACGCGGCTGCTGCACCTGATGTTGGAAACGGAGGCTCCAAAAACATAAGTGAAGTGGGTATTCCTGCTAAACACTCCACTCAGGGCCTGGGGGAAGGGGAGCAAATGTCTGTCTGCCCCCCGCCAACTCCACCCAGCCACGGCTTGTCCCATGGCCAAGTTGCCTGGGTCCGTGGGATCACCAAGTTCTTCTGAGTCACTATACATACCCCCAAATACCCCCAGACTCCTTTCCTGCCACTCCCCCACCTCAGGCACACATGCAGTGCTTGGCGCCGGGGTTAAGTCTGTGCCCTGCGGCGAGTGCTGCCCAGAGACCCCGGTGTCCATTCGAGGATGAACTTGGCTGGGTCATCCCTGCTACAAACAGGCTTTTACATTCTTGAACTTCACCTGGGGTGAGGGTTTTCAGAAGTCCTGCCCCTTTTCCTCCTGAGGCCTCCTTGGTCCTGATGTTAATGAGTGGCCATCCACGTACCCACAGGAAGGGATGTGGTCAAATCCTCTTACCAGCGGCTCTGAACCATTTGACCTGCTACCTGAGATGCTGGGGAGAGGAAAGGGGAGGGTGCTGTCACTTCTAAAAGTTCATCAAGTTCTCACAACATCCCCATTCACAGGTGAGAAAACCGAGGCCTGAAAAGTGTCAACCCAAAAGACACTCCTTGCCCCAAGCCCAGAAGGCTGAGGAAGTAGGGAAGTGCGGTGGGATCTGTCTTCCCGTGTGTCTTCAGGATCCCGGGGCCTGCCCCTCCTGGCTTCCTCTTGAGAAAGGCCTCAGAAGACCCACCTTTGGTCGAAGGACAGAAGCTGGGCCGAGAGGCAAGGGTTTTGGCCTCCACAGGGGAAACTCTGGGCTCAGAACTGCCGAAGTGACTCACGGGCCCTGCTGGGAAGCAGCTGACGTTCCTTGTCTGCGCCTTACAAAACCACAATGGGCTGCGAGTGACAGCCAGCTGCTCTGAGTGGCGGAGGAATGTTGTTGCCAGACAGGTTCCTGAGGCATCTGCTGAGCTGTGCTCCAGAAACCAGCCCTGGGCAGCTGCCACACCAAGCAGCCTCCACCCCTCCCCACAACCAGGACTCATAGAGGGCACCCCCACCAACCTCAACAGAACCCTCCCGTCAGGGATCCGTGGAAGTCAGCCACTGCCACAAGGACAGCCACCCATTCCGGGCAGGAGCTCATGGGAAACCATGACCAGGGAACCCATCCCTCCCCACCCCCAGCAAGACTTGAGGCCAGGGAGGTTAGAGGGGTCTCCCTATGACCAAATCTGTGGCCGTCACAACCGACCTTGAACCATAATACTAAGAATGAGAACAATAATAATCACAGCTAACCCCTCGCACTCACTACATGCCAGGCACCATGGCATGGAGCGCTTTTTCTGGATTATCACATGTGTTCATTTCCTGGGGCTGCCGTAGCAAACTGCCACAAACTGCATGACTTAAAACAACAGAAACGTATTCTCTTGGCCAGGCGCGGTGGCTTACGCCTGTAATCCCAGCACTTTGGGAGGCCGAGGCGGGCAGATCACCCTGAGGTTCAGGAGTTGGAGAGCAGCCTGGCCACATGGCAAACCTGTCATAAAATATAAAAATGTGCCGGGTGGTGGGGGGTAGGGAGCTGTGTAGTCGCCAGCTCCTACTCAGGCAGCTGAAGGCAGAGGCGAATTGGTCGAACCCAGGAGGGTAGTGGTTGCAATAACTGGAGAATCGTACCCATTGGCCACTCCAAGCCTGGGTGACAGAGGACTCTGTCTCAATAAATAAAAATAAACTAAAAATGAAAAAAGAAGAAAAAGTTAAAAGAAAAGGAGTATTCTTTTACCGGCTCTAGGGCGAGAAATCAAACTCAAAGGGTGTTGCGGGGCCCACACATCCTCCTGGAAAGCCTAGGAGAGAATCCTTCTTCCTTTTCCAGCTCTGCTGGAGGCTGGGGTCTTCATGACCTCGGCCTATGGCATGTTCAAGCAAGTCCTTTTTTCATCTGGCCACATGGTTAGTTTTCCTCTGTGTATCTATGTTCTGTGTCCACAACTCCTCCTTCTTAGACAGTACACCAGTTCATATTGGACTTAAGGCCTACGCCTAATCCAGTATGACCTCTGCCATACCTCTTGCAAAGGCGGCTAGTTCCAAATAGGGTCATTTTCAGGGTTCCCAGGGTGGATATAATTTGGGAAACTACTTCACACTCATTATACCACATGTAATCTTCTTAATAAGGAACTGATACTGCTTTTATTTATTATTACAGATAAGAAGGGCTCAGAGAGGTTAGGCAACTGCCAGAAATCCCCGGCCCTGTTTAGAACTCATACTACTCATCACCATCCATTCTCCTCGCAGAAGCTCAGGCCACTTCATCACTTACAAAGCTTCCTGGCCATTGTCTCTTCTCTTCTCTCTTTCTTTCTCTCTTTCTCTCTTCCTCTCTTTTCTTGTTCTTTTTCT